TTTCACCGGTGATAGCAGCACGCTGCTATCAAATTGCGCGAGCTGACGTAATGTGATGACGTCATACTGCTGACGTAAGGGGCAATTCTGGCGCACGATTGCCGCAATATTGTTTTACGTCATCAGCTATATGTTCGAAGTTAATGTCCAAATTTTTCCTAAAACCAACTTCTTTTAAATACATCATATTGAAAAAATATATATCAAAAATATATATACTATCATGACTGTGTAAACTCTTACTTTTAGGCTCATACGTCACTTAATGCCGCCGCCAAGGTCGCGGCAATCGTGCGCCGGAACTACCCATTACGACAACAGTATGGCGTCACGACATGACGTCAGCTCGCGAAACGTGATAGCAGCTTGCTGCTATCACCGGTGAAACAGGGCCCTGGAAGCCGGCTGGTCTCCCCCTGAGTGGTGGGACACGGCTGGGGTCGAGACGGTCTGGGTTTACTGTCCCGGCCACGCCGGCATCGACCTGAACGAAACGGCGGATCGACTGGCAGCGCGCGCAAGCGGAAGGACAATGCGAATCGCCTCTCTCAGCTTCTGACGTCAGACACCTGCTAATGCTAATGCAAAGGTACAGAGAGGTCAATCAACTCGAGAGCCACGGAAGCACGGAGGTCGAAAGGAAGCACGGAAGAGGACTGGAGCGAGGATGGGCGCGGCGTTCTCGCCGCTCCGGAGCGACTGGAAGGCTGGCGAGTCAGCTGGCGTGTGGGACCATCTCCAGGAGGATCCTGGCGGACACCAGCGGGACGGGAGGCGCTGAGACGACATGGGCGCGGTGCTTCGGGCCCCGTTCGTCAACCTGGCTGCCGCCGCCGAAGTAAGTAAAACATACTTGTTGAGTTTGCATATGTTTTCGCGCAATTAATCTATTTTGTAACTAGCGGTCGTAACTGTTCGCCGTGTGCGTGTCGCCGCCCGGCCACGGTAGCGCCGGCGCGCCGGCGGGCCGTGCGGCACAGTATGTTTTGCGGGCGCGGCGCTCGGGCGCGCGGTGATTGGCGGTCGCTCACATGTCACGTAACCCGCAGTGACCTCCGGTCTGTCCGGGAGGAGCGGGCCACTCGTGTCTCAGCATTCGTCTGGGCCGGGTCGGTCGCAATGTGCGTTAGCCTCCAGAGTGGCCTTGCCGGGCTCTCCGGGCCGTAGCACTTGTGGCCGCCGAGTGCAGGAAACGGACTTGTTGGTCCTTTCTTGAGAGGTTTACTCGGCCTAAATTGACACCTAACCTTTTTTGGCACCCAAATCCAGACGGAAGCATTGCATGATGCGGATAACAGACGTGTATCTCATTGACGCCGTCTATGCTGCATCATCAATGCTCCCTATTCCCAAGTCACTTAAAACCGTGCATTTCGCCAGGGTGCACGTTTCACGGCGAAATTAGAGGGGCAGTCCGTGAGCCCCTCCGTGAGCGCATGAGGGTAAACAATGAGCTGTATATGATTTGTGCCATATCACAATTGTACCCGATCGTTTGGTAATACGGTGACTGCCTCTCCAGGTTGCATTGCCTGTTGGTGTCGAAGCTGGTGCACCACAATACAGCACTGAGGTCAAATCCATGTATGATCTTTTATTATACCGGCGCAACGAACGGACGGATTCTTAACAATACTCAGCTGGTATGTTCCATTCACATATAATCCGTGAAGTCACCAGACGGTACCTTACTTAACCCTCGCCGGCCGAGGGGGGGGGGGTGCCGCCCCCCCCCCCCATAGGTTTTTTTCGCGATAGCTCCGAACACGCTGGCAATAGAGAGCTGAAACTTGGCATACCTGACCTTTGATCCAAGCCGCATCTTTTGACACCAACCGCATTTTTGGGTCCGGTCAGGTCACTGACCTATGACGTCATAAGTGAACCTCTGCACGGTCTTCAGATGTCGCAACTTCGCAACGCCCTCACTGCCAGAGGAGATGTCACAGGGAAATGAAACTTGCAGGATCTAGCATCCATTATGAGTCTCACAACTTGTATATCTCGGATTTTTACTAAAGGTCATATGAGGTCAGGTCATTTTTGTGACCTCACCATTATAAGTCAATGGGGAAAAATGAAAACTGCTATTCTGGCGCCGGGAACGATCTCCAACTATCTCAAGCACACAGAATCGTGATTTGATGCACTCCTTGCAAGGTTAGATGCGTCACTTTTGCAATGTTGACCTTCCGTGACGTCATTTATGACGTCATCAAGGTCTTATTAGTTTTTCGTCAATAACTCCCGATCAAATTGAGCTAGCGAGTCGAGAAAGCCACCAATAGACTCAGGAAGACCTGCCGAATCGAATGATATGCGACATGACCTCTTTCGACCAGCTTCGTGACCTGGGGGTGCTGACCTGACCTTGACCTAAGGTCAACACCCCAAGTTGACCTGACCCAAACAAAAAGTATATCATTCGACGCGCCTGAGCGAGGCAAACACGATGCTGCCAAAATCGCGGCACTGCGACCGTTTTTTTGCGAAGTTATTCACCAAAAACTGAACCGTACCCTGGGGCACTTGACCTGACCTCAGAGGTCACCGGTTGACCTAGGACCTTAAAATCGGGTACCAGTCTCTGCGTCTCGTAACGGCGCACACGCTCGTTTTTTCCGCGACGCGCTAGCTCCACCAGGGGCAAAACGGCGAGGGGGGGTCGTACCCGCTCCCCTCCCCCCTCGGCCGGCGCGTATGTAGAAAACCAATAGGTCCGGCGAGGGTTAAGTCTGTAACCTTATCTTGATCAAGAGGAGGCGGACATGCATTCCAATATATCAATGAACTCACATGAACCTCACATGAACATCACAATGAACGTCACATATTCAATGAACTATGACGATGATAAATGAGTGGTATTAAATCCCAAATACCTATGGTCAAGGGATAGGGATCGCATAAAGCCAGAGATTCTTATACTATTGAATGTCCATGGGAAGCAAAACTATGTCTAGTAAACAAACAACAGCGCTGTGACAATACAACAGCACTGCTGTTTAAACACATTTTGAAAGCTAAGCTGCCAGCTTTACTGACACTGGGCGACAGAAACTGAACTAGGAATCAAATAGCCAAACTCGGCCAAGATGAAACAAACACCACTGCAGAGTAGCGCGTCAATCTCTTCAGCAAAAGCTGGGACTGCACCAGCGTCTGGGAATAGTGACCAGAAAATGCGTCCCTGATCACCCTTTAAAAATAGCGTGGAAGCATTGCTAGGAGTCGGGCGGCTGCACAAATGCAGTCACTCAAATCATCTGACCTTCACGAACCGCAAAGATGCACCAGAGCCGCCGCGCGCTGCTGCAGCGCTGCGCCGGTATCTCTCCGCTGCACGGAGCAGGGCGACCACCTCGCCATATGTCATTAACAATGTTCGATCTGTCACGGCTTACCGGAACAATGGGCCGCACCCGGGGCCGGGTATTTAATGACGGCACCGCGGTCGGTCCGCACAGTGTCCCGTCGTCGGCCGCTGCACAGCCATGGCTCCGCCGTCCACCGTACTCTGCCTGGCCCTGCTCGGTCTGGCGGCCGCCGCCGGCCCGTACGGCAGCTCCCACTCGTCGTCACAGTACGGAGCCCGGAGACCGGGCAGCACCTACGGAACTCCCAGCTACAAGAGCTACACACCTCCGACGCCGAGCAAGGGATACGGAGCTCCGAAACCGAGCGCGAGCTACGGCGCGCCGAAGTACGACGACGCATACCAGGCGCCCAAGTACGACGGTGGATACGATACGCCGAAGTACGACAACGGATACCAGGCGCCCAAGTACGACGGTGGATACGATACGCCGAAGTACGACAACGGCTACCAGACGCCGAAGTACGACAACGGATACCAGACGCCGAAATACGACAGCGGGTACGGCGCTCGTCCTGTCGCGGCGGTTCGGGTCCAGCCGGGAGCGGGACAGCGCGGAGGATTTGGACCATCGTTCGGCGGCCAGAGGCCCAAACCTGTGCAGCGATTCCAGCAGCCATCTCAGCCATTCCCGCCCCAGGGCGGTCGCGGCGGTCTGTACGTGTCCTGGGAGAACCCACGTCACAGCGGCGGCCAGTATACGTGGGACCAGGCGGCCGGCGAGTGCCGCCAGCTCGGACTGAGGCTCGTCTCGCTCACCTCGCCGCAGAAGGAGCAGGAGATCAACCGCCGGCTGCCCAGGGGCGGACGCAAGGTCGAGTTCTACTGGACGTCCGGACAGCGCCTCAGCGAGGGAGGACAGTTCGTGTGGAACGACGGGGCCCGCACCCCCGTCTGCAACCGGGGACAGGGCTGCTATGAAAACTGGGGACCCACCGGAGGCGCCGGATTCCCCCAGCCGGACAATCGCGAGGGTCGTGAGAACTGCCTGGCGGTGCTCAACGAATTCTACCCGGGAGAAGGCATTGTGTGGCACGACATTGGCTGCCACCACCGCAAGCACTTCGTATGCGAGTAATGTACGACTGTCTGACGTAAAACTAAAACACGAAAAACTGGTGCGACTGTGCTGATGATTGTGACATACAAGTTATAACGTATCTGTTCAATCCTCGATAAGGTCGAGATCAACATTCACGTTTTTATTAGAAGATATAGAAGTATATGTGGAAGTACCAAGGAAAATAATTCATGCATTATTTGCTACTATTTCGTAAGGAAAAAAATACAATGCCCGCACTCTGGCAGAGAAAACAATCAAATACCTAATGGACGATGCTGTGAGTGGACCAATGATCTGACAAATAGGTAGCATAGTTAACAATAGAACCGAGGGTGACGAGGAGCCGAGGCAATCCACTACTGTTTGGTCAGCTTTTGGTCTGAAGACATGCCGGTGGACCGAACGATGTTGCTTTTTAGTGTAGCTAAAGCGTAAGGTGCACCCATAATGTCGCGTAACCAAATATGCATATCGTGCACCCAGGACAAAGCCCACCACAGAACTACACCTCGAAACTCATCGATCACATGTGTAATGTGTTTAGCCTTATAAGGCACTTACCTGGGCATCCATCCCTGGTATTTGCCGACGAAAAATCCATCATTGGATTCGGTAAATGGCAGAATGTTATGAGGTAGCTGATCAAACCACCAGGACCCATCTGCTTGCAGAAACCAGTTGGCAAAATGCAGCACTCCTTCAGGTTGCAGAGTTATGAAAAAATGAGCTATTGTTTCAGCTGCTACAGACTTATTTGACGTCGAATACTTCACGTCCTTTGAAATCGATTTGACAATAGATTTCTGGAAACAGAAAAGATGTGAATGACATGAGTTTCTGAACACACTTAAACTGATAAGTAACTACCTAGTTATAATTATCAAATCCCTAATAAGCAGCTAGGGGCACTGCAACCCCACCAGTATAAGCCAATGGGAGAAAATTGAGCTGCGATTTTTTGGAAGTGGACCATACTAAACGCTCTCAAACGAGTAGCCAGTAAACATAGCACAATAAATCGGAAAATTGCACACGTGACCCCTATATGTACCCCTGAGGTCATCTAAGGTCATGAAAGGTTCTCAATGGGTTTTAACATTTACTTTTGATAGACATGCTAGACAGATGAAAAATCCAGAATGTGTCCAGATCAACAAGGTGAATCTACCGGTATGTAGGTAATGTGATCTTTTCTGGCCAGTCATGACCTTGGTCATGGATCCAATTTGTTGGTGGATCTTTTCAGGCCAAATTATAGCCCATTCGACGGGTCTCGACAAGAGGAACGCTATATAAAAAGTGTAGACATGCTTTGAATCAAGTTACTGAATGAAAGGTTCCCGCAAAAAAGGTCAATTTTGACAGTTGTTGCCTTCTATAGGCTAAACCGTTGATGTTAAGTGAACTTCGAGAACTTTCTCGGTAAGAGCGTTAGGAGAGCTCTATCAAATGCGCTTCCCCGCGGCAATCTAACCTTTTTGTTCCCGAGTTATGCACCGATTGGTCAAAAGTTGTAGTATATACTAGGCGGAATTTGACATTTGATGACTTCTCTGCCGTATAAAGGCAAAACCCATTATGTTTGGGTGACCTCTGACCTGAGGCAATGGCCTCTGACCCGACATAATGGTTTTTGCCTTTGCACGGCAGTTCTGGTGACGTAACCTTAACCCTCGCCGGCACAGGGGGGGGGGGTGATGCACCCCCCAAGGTTTTTCGTGAATAGCTCGCGTAAAAAGCGGCCGATCGCGACGAAACTTTCAGTACCCTCGCATTGATCAATTTTACACGTACCCTGAAAATTTCATGACCCTGACCCAAATGACCTTTGACCTGTGACCTACTTTCCGAGACCATGTTTGGCCGGAATCGCGATTTGGTCATGTCGGCTCGCATAAGCCGCGCGTTTGCAAGCTTTTCGTGGTTTCAAACGTTCAAACATGTGATTTGATGTTGCTCCCATGCAATATGCATTAGGGTGAATGTCAAGGTCACCTAAAGGTCAGGTCAGGTCATTGGCCTTTGGTGACCTCGGCTCACTTTTTCGAGTTTTACATGTTTCTAGGCTAGTTTTTGGAGCTGATTTCGAATTTAGCAACCATTTGAACATTTCCGAAGTAGTTTTGATGCCTTCCTAACATGTTACGAAGCTGTCGGAGGCGGTTGACACGTATTTCGAATAGGCACCCGTCACGACCCCTACCGGTTGACCTGACCTGACCCGACCCGACCTGGTCTAAATGCTTAAAGACATCATCTCTGATCAAAACTAACACGATATTCCTGATCAGCACCCCGGAAAACCCCATAGCAGTCACACTTTACGGCTTTCTAACAGGCCCCGACTTTCCCGATTTTCGGGTCATTGACCTGACCTGGAAAGTCACCCGATGACCTAGGACCTTAAAATTGGATATCATCGGCTTCCTCTCGTGACGGGCAGCACGCTCGTTTTTTCCGCGAAGCTCTAGCTCGATCAGGGACCAAACACGAGGGGGGTCGTACCCCCCCCCCTTGTGCCGTCGAAGGACGCAAAATGGCCTGTGCCGGCGAGGGTTAAGCCCGATCTAAAAAAGACCGGAGTAATTGTGTCATGCTTTTTGAAGCACTTTCGAACACCACCTGGCACCTATCGCGTGTGACTAGGTGGCCCAGGAGTCGAGTTGGAGTGGGGTGTTCGTGTTCGCTCCCCCTCTCCCCCAGTGAAAATCCAGGGAAGCCAGCATGCCATGGTTTAAATGGCAACAATCAGCAAACATAAACACTTACCAAGACCAGTGAATCAGGGATCTCCTTCCAGAGAATGCAGACAGTCTTGCATACACAGCTCCCAGCCGACTGTTCATTGGCACAAGAGCAATCACTGGATTTAAAAGCAGTTGTATTATTCAGCTCACATGGCACAAGTGCAAATATGCCAAAGTCTGCTTTTAGTTGACCTCCCAGAATGTCAACAAAATTAGAAGCATCTTTTCTATTAGCAGTCCTGGTAGGATTGAAATTCCAATAGGCATAATAAACTACTACTGAAAGTAAACCACAAAGAGTTGCAAGAAGGAGCTGAGCTTGCATACCAAACATATCGTCTTGATATCTTCTCTTTTCTTCACACTTTTGACTTTATCTTTACATCTCAGGAAAGCTTGTGCTAACCTGGAAAATGGTGATTGATGTCAAAGCAGTTGCTATACAATAGGAATTAGGAGCAGACATGGATTATTTGATGTCCACAAGTACCTAATGCATGACCATTGCTGATGGACTAGGTACTTTTTTATTTCTGAAATGGTAGGCCAAGGAGACAAACATGAATGAGCATCTATGTGCATTGAACCAGGGCCCTGTTTCACCGGTGATAGCAGCAAGCTGCTATCACGTTTCGCGAGCTGACGTCATGTCGTGACGCCATACTGTTGTCGTAATGGGTAGTTCCGGCGCACGATTGCCGCGACCTTGGCGGCGGCATTAAAGGGACCCTCCCACCTTCAAAAAAGTTAATGAATTTGCATGAAAGTGATGTCGCTCGGTTCAGAAAGAGCAAAAACGAATATCTACCAAATTTCATCGAAAAATATTCACCGGTTTTCAAGATATTAGACTTTTACTTTTGTTTACTTTTTGGGATCTCCGCTATTCCTAGCGACTTTATTTGAAAGTGCGGCATTTGTTGCGCGCAAAGCAGCATATACCACCGCGTGCTACAAAACGTTTTAGTCAAACATTTAACGGACGTTCGAAAGCCTGATGACGTCATCAGATTCCCGTAATGGTTAAGAGATAGGGACCAAGCTGGTCCCACCCTGCAAGTAAAGGGAAGAAATTTCTTGAACACCATAAAGCTGCGGGGGTTGCGACCAGGATAAATGGTGGTTTCTGAGCCTGGCCGCAAACTTGGCTATCTCAACTCAAAACTAATGTTAAGGTGGGAGGGTCCCTTTAAGTGACGTATGAGCCTAAAAGTAAGAGTTTACGCAGTCATGATAGTATATATATTTTTGATATATATTTTTTCAATATGATGTATTTAAAAGAAGTTGGGTTTAGGAAAAATTTTGACATTAACTTCGAACATTTAACTGATGCCGTAAAACAATATTGCGGCAATCGTGCGCCAGAATTGCCCCTTACGTCAGCAGTATGACGTCATCACATTACGTCAGCTCGCGCAATTTGATAGTAGCTTGCTGCTATCACCGGTGAAACAGGGCCCTAGTGCAGTAGAAGTATAGTTCATTTGAACTTTTTTAAGTCCGCCAACAAACTGATATATTTGCCCTAATAAGAGCTCAATTTGCCATGAGCGCCTGTAGTTACTGTGGGCTCTAAACTGATGTCACTGATTCCAGGGCTCTGTTTCACCGGTGATAGCAGCACGCTGCTATCAAATTGCGCGAGCTGACGTAATGTGATGACGTCATACTGCTGACGTAAGGGGCAATTCTGGCGCACGATTGCCGCAATATTGTTTTACGTCATCAGCTAAATGTTCGAAGTTAATGTCCAAATTTTTCCTAAACCCAACTTCTTTTAAATACATCATATTGGAAAAATATATATCAAAAATATATATACTATCATGACTGCGTAAACTCTTACTTTTAGGCTAATACGTCACTTAATGCCGCCGCCAAGGTCGCGGCAATCGTGCGCCGTAACTACCCATTACGTCAACAGTATGGCGTCACGACATGACGTCAGCTCGCGAAACGTGATAGCAGCTTGCTGCTATCACCGGTGAAACAGGGCCATGTAACGGAAGTTGGCACAGATTCAGCACAGATTCAGCACAGCACAGATTCGGTAGGGGGAAAAAAGGCCCCGGTAGAGGGAAACCTTTATGCCCCGTTTTCCCCTAGAAATGACGTCACAAAGAGGTAAAAATGGGTATCAATCGAAAGCTCTCGTTTACCCAGACACAGTCCCGCAGGAAAATTCCACTTTTTTCCCATAGGAAAGTTTTTACGGGAAAATCAAAATTTTGGGTCAATGGGGGGTCCCCCCCGATTTCGTTCAAAATCGGCACACAGGTGCCCCACCACCAGCCGAGAAACTTTCCCCAAAACGGTCCCCGTTGCATTGACGTTTAAGGCCCTTAAAGCCCCGTAAACTCGTAAAAAATCCGTAAAATCGCCTTTGTACGGACAAAAAAGTGGTGCTATGGTAAAAATGGGTATCAATCGAAAGCTCTCGTTTACCCAGACACAGTCCTGCAGGAAAATTCCACTTTTTCCCATAGGAAAGTTTTTACGGGAAAATCAAAATTTCGGGTCAATGGGGGGTCCCCCCCGATTTCGTTCAAAATCGGCACACAGGTGCCCCACCACCAGCCGAGAAACTTTCCCCAAAACGGTCCCCGTTGCATTGACGTTTAAGGCCCGTAAAGCCCCCTAGACTCGTAAAATATCCGTAAAATCGCCTTTGTACGGACAAAAAAGTGGTGCTATGGTAAAAATGGGTATCAATCGAAAGCTCTCGTTTACCCAGACACAGTCCTGCAGGAAAATTCCACTTTTTTCCCATAGGAAAGTTTTTACGGGAAAATCAAAATTTTGGGTCAATGGGGGGTCCCCCCCGATTTCGTTCAAAATCGGCACACAGGTGCCCCACCACCAGCCGAGAAACTTTCCCCAAAACGGTCCCCGTTGCATTGACGTTTAAGGCCCTTAAAGCCCCGTAAACTCGTAAAAAATCCGTAAATTCGCCCTTGTACGGCCAAAAACGGGGCGCTATGGTGAAAATGGGTATCAATCGAAAGCTCTCGTTTATCCAGACACAGTCCTGCAGGAAAATTCCACTTTTTCCCCATAGGAAAGTTTTTACGGGAAAATCAAAATTTCGGGTCAATGGGGGGTCCCCCCCGATTTCGTTCAAAATCGGCACACAGGTGCCCCACCACCAGCCGAGAAACTTTCCCCAAAACGGTCCCCGTTGCATTGACGTTTAAGGCCCTTAAAGCCCCGTAAACTCGTAAAAAATCCGTAAATTCGCCCTTGTACGGCCAAAAACGGGGCGCTAGGGTAAAAATGGGTATCAATCGAAAGCTCTCGTTTACCCAGACACAGTCCTGCAGGAAAATTTCACTTTTTCCCCATAGGAAAGTTTTTAAGGGAAAATCAAAATTTCGGGTCAATGGGGGGTCCCCCCCGATTTCGTTTTAAATCGGCACACAGGTGCCCCACCACCAGCCGAGAAACTTTCCCCAAAACGGTCCCCGTTGCATTGACGTTTAAGGCCCGTAAAGCCCCCTAGACTCGTAAAATATCCGTAAAATCGCCTTTGTACGGACAAAAAAGTGGTGCTATGGTAAAAATGGGTATCAATCGAAAGCTCTCGTTTACCCAGACACAGTCCTGCAGGAAAATTTCACTTTTTCCCCATAGGAAAGTTTTTACGGGAAAATAAAAACTTTCCTATGGGGAAAAAGTGAAATTTTCCTGCAGGACTGTGTCTGGGTAAACGAGAGCTTTCGATTGATACCCATTTTTACCCTAGCGCCCCGTTTTTGGCCGTACAAGGGCGAATTTACGGATTTTTTACGAGTTTACGGGGCTTTAAGGGCCTTAAACGTCAATGCAACGGGGACCGTTTTGGGGAAAGTTTCTCGGCTGGTGGTGGGGCACCTGTGTGCCGATTTTTAACGAAATCGGGGGGGACCCCCCATTGACCCAAAATTTTGATTTTCCCGTAAAAACTTTCCTATGGGAAAAAAGTGGAATTTTCCTGCAGGACTGTGTCTGGGTAAACGAGAGCTTTCGATTGATACCCAATTTTACCATAGCACCACTTTTTTGTCCGTACAAAGGCGATTTTACGGATATTTTACGAGTCTAGGGGGCTTTACGGGCCTTAAACGTCAATGCAACGGGGACCGTTTTGGGGAAAGTTTCTCGGCTGGTGGTGGGGCACCTGTGTGCCGATTTTGAACGAAATCGGGGGGGACCCCCCATTGACCCAAAATTTTGATTTTCCCGTAAAAACTTTCCTATGGGAAAAAAGTGGAATTTTCCTGCAGGACTGTGTCTGGGTAAACGAGAGCTTTCGATAGATACCCATTTTTACCCTAGCGCCCCGTTTTTGGCCGTACAAGGGCGAATTTACGGATTTTTTACGAGTTTACGGGGCTTTAAGGGCCTTAAACGTCAATGCAACGGGGACCGTTTTGGGGAAAGTTTCTCGGCTGGTGGTGGGGCACCTGTGTGCCGATTTTGAACGAAATCGGGGGGGACCCCCCCATTGACCCAAAATTTTGATTTTCCCGTAAAAACTTTCCTATGGGAAAAAGTGGAATTTTCCTGCAGGACTGTGTCTGGGTAAACGAGAGCTTTCGATTGATACCCATTTTTACCATAGCACCACTTTTTTGTCCGTACAAAGGCGATTTTACGGATATTTTACGAGTCTAGGGGGCTTTACGGGCCTTAAACGTCAATGCAACGGGGACCGTTTTGGGGAAAGTTTCTCGGCTGGTGGTGGGGCACCTGTGTGCCGATTTTGAACGAAATCGGGGGGACCCCCCATTGACCCGAAATTTTGATTTTCCCGTAAAAACTTTCCTATGGGGAAAAAGTGGAATTTTCCTGCAGGACTGTGTCTGGGTAAACGAGAGCTTTCGATTGATACCCATTTTTACTTTAGCGCCCCGTTTTTGGCCGTACAAGGGTGAATTTACGGATTTTTTACGAGTTTACGGGGCTTTAAGGGCCTTAAACGTCAATGCAACGGGGACCGTTTTGGGGAAAGTTTCTCGGCTGGTGGTGGGGCACCTGTGTGCCGATTTTGAACGAAATCGGGGGGGACCCCCCATTGACCCGAAATTTTGATTTTCCCGTAAAAACTTTCCTATGGGGAAAAAGTGGAATTTTCCTGCAGGACTGTGTCTGGGTAAACGAGAGCTTTCGATTGATACCCATTTTTACTTTAGCGCCCCGTTTTTGGCCGTACAAGGGCGAATTTACGGATTTTTTACGAGTTTACGGGGCTTTAAGGGCCTTAAACGTCAATGCAACGGGGACCGTTTTGGGGAAAGTTTCTCGGCTGGTGGTGGGGCACCTGTGTGCCGATTTTGAACGAAATCGGGGGGGACCCCCCATTGACCCGAAATTTTGATTTTCCCGTAAAAACTTTCCTATGGGGAAAAAGTGGAATTTTCCTGCAGGACTGTGTCTGGGTAAACGAGAGCTTTTGATTGATACCCATTTTTACCCTAGCGCCCCGGTTTTGGCCGTACAAGGGCGAATTTACGGATTTTTTACGAGTTTACGGGGCTT